TAAAATGAAGGGTATGTTTCTCAAAACATAGAAAATTTGTGGAAGATTGGAAGAATTTTATTACGAAAGCTAGGTAGGTTACAGGATACTAGTTTTTGCACATGTCCTATTTGCTGTATTGCAAAAGAGAAGAGAAGTCATTGAAAAATCAATCTTTCTGAATTTATTGAGGATTTTGCTGATACGCAGAAGCCCTCAGATGTAAATAACGCATCTTTTTGCACATATTGATGCCAAAAGGTAGGTAAAGGTATCAGACACCCTTGCACAAAATCTGAAATAGTGGAAAATCTACATAAGCTCATTCTTTCTCAAGACTCAAAAATCTCCCAACAAGATATTTCCTCTGTACTAAAAGATATGTATAAAACATCTGAAAATAACGAACTAACTGTAGCAACAGGTAAATGTGTATTTATATTTCTCTACCTATCTACATTTATTATTAATTTTATAAAATACATTTATATTAAAGTTAAACATTAGCGAATAGAACGTTTGCCATATATTTTTTATAGGTGGTAAAGCCCTTCATGTTGCTCTCTACTCTAGAGATATGTATAAACCTATTTTAGAAATATCTTCACATACATTATTTAATATAAAAAAGAAAATTGATCTTCCCATATCAGCAATGGATTATACAATGACTGAGATACGTAAAGATTTGGGTCGTGGAGGTAACAGTAATATATATAAACTTTGTTTTGCATATATTCATATTACTTATACATTTATAAGTTATTCTTGTATCTGTTGCTAGGTATTGAACCTAATGCCTCAAAAATTATTAAGGAAAATTCTTTCCAGTTAAATCAATTTTATAAAAACGTTTTATGTAGCTTTCAACAAATACACAACAATGGAAACTGCAAGGTTGTTGATACAATTCAAATAGATGTTGTATTTGTTCCTGAACCGTGGGAACTAATGAAATAGATTTGTGTACAGAGAAAACTTAACCCATACAATTGTTTAATAAGAGTTGGTATTGATGGAGGTCAAGGTTCACTGAAAGTCATAATAAACCTCAACGCAGAAGAGCTACAATCAGAGAAAAGAAACATGAAAAATACAGGGGTCAATACAGTTCTTATTTTGGGTCTTGTACGTGGAGTACAAGAAAGTAATTATAATTTGGAGAAGCTTATTAAGTTACTTAAGCTAAATGAGCTAAAATACACAGTAGCAGCTGACCTGAAGCTTATTAATTGTTTACTGGGCATTTCTGTAAGTTAAAAAATAATTATTTTTTGTAATTGCATGATAATTTATAAAAAGTAATTGCTTTTTATTACTTTATTAATTTTTAATTTATTATTTATAGTCTTTTTGAATACTAATAATTAAAGGCACACGGGGGAAAGTATGCTTGCTGTTACTGTGAAGGTGAAAAAGACAACAAAAATGGAAAATTGAGGACTTTTCAAAGTTTGACTAATTGGTATCAGAAATTTATTGAGGATGGGGAACTTAATTAGGATATGAAAAGCAATAAAGTTATTAATATAGTTCCTCCTTCTGAATTACATTTGTTTGAACATATTGTTACACAAATAACAGATGTTTTGATGGCTGAGGAGTCAATTAAAAAATTCCTAATTGGTAAAAGTGTAACTAGGCACGATTACAATGGAGGAGGATTTGATAGACATAACTGTCAAAAAGTACTTTCTTGCTTGGATGAACTCATAACTATAGCTCCACTCCTGATGATACCCTGTATTGAGACTTTAAGGAAATTCAAAATCGGTATGTAATTAGTTAACTACTTTTTCACTTATTGTTTATAAGTAATTATAAACATAATTCCTTTGAATTTGTTCATTTTAGTGACAGAAGGATGTTTTGGAATGAAGCTTTCTCTTGAGTTCAGCAGAGATATTCAGGAATTTGTCTCAGAAATGTGCAACTTGCATAAGTATCTGATAGAATACACGACACATAAGATCTGTCTAGGTTGGAAATTTCACATCATACAGTCACACCTCGTCATGTTTCTTGAAAGAAAAAACAAACCCTTGGGAATTTTCTATGAGCAAAGCTGTGAAGCTGTGCACAAAAATATTAACAAGATAATTAAAAGATTTGCAGCTTCAGAGCTGAGCAAATGCCATTGAGCAAATGCCATGGAAAACGGCCGTAACCTACTCTAGTATGAGAATGTAAATAATTTAATATATAGTACTAAATATTGCATTATTGTAAAATAAAGAAGTAATCATGAATAAAAAATGTTTGAAAAAATTAATAAATTGTATTTGTTTCATTCTAGTGATATTCAAAGTTTATAGATAGTTAAGACAAGGGGTGGATTCTGTGTTTTTGTTTTGTTTGAGAAAGCTAACTTCCAAACATAAAATAAAATCCAAACATTTATATGTTTATGTCAAATAAGGATGTTTTGCATATTATTGGGATGATTGAAGCCTGGGAACAATAACAAACCGAACTTTTTGCCCCCTTGCCCCAAACGTTAGACCAACGAGTTAGTAAATTTTTTTTTTACTATTCTTAACTAAGTTCATTTTTTATAAGAAGTTTTAAATTTCGTGCAATAATTTTATAGCGTTCAAAAATGACGGCCATTTAAAGTTTCAACTTCCCTCAATTTGAGGGGGTTACAAATTTAAGATTGACATATTTCTTGAACTATGAAAAAAATTTTCATAAACTTTGAAATTTTTAAATTATTATGAATTTAGTTAAGAATAGTTTATAGATTATAGATCACAGGCCTGTGATCTATAATGTAGATCACAGGATAATAAGAAAATATAAAAATATTATTAAACACCCACTACGGCAATGTGGCATAGGTTATATATACTTGCAGGGACGTCCTTAGGGGGTGGGGGCGTAGGGGGTTAGTAACCCACCGACCATTTTTACTAGTTGACAAAAATGTGCCTAGCCGGCCAACTTAGATCTTCAGACGGCAAATATCAAAAACCGATGAAACTTTTTTTTTTTTTAGAACTTAATTATTTCAATTTTGTACTTTAGTCGGCAAAAAAACAAACAAAGACCCTCCCCCCCCTCCTTTTAAATTCTCTTCGGTACGTCCCTGTATATTTGCCGCAGGCCACCTGGTGGTAATATTATCAACTTTTCAGAATAATTGAAATATTTTAATTAAGAATAACAATGAAAAAGAATAATTCATTATGTATAACAAAGTATACTTTTTGTACATATTTTTTTATTTTTTATTGGTATCTTCTTCAAACATCGGCCAGGTGATATTTTCCATCTCCTTCAGTTTTTCTTTCATGAAAACCATCATTTCAATATTGTTATACAAGGCTATTTCTTTTTTCCGTTAAAACATTTCCAGCAGTTAAAAATACTTGCTCCCAGGTTGCTGATAATGCAGGAATGCATAAGATCTCTCTAGCTAGTCTGCTGAGATAAGGTAATCTTGTACGATTAGTCTTCCAAAGTTCAATAATGTCTGCGTTGTCATTTGCAATTCCTTCATCGACATAATCTCGCATTTGGCATAAGTTAACGGATAATTTTTCTCAGTATTTTGCCCATACAGCTTCTTTACAGCAACAGTTGAAGTTTCTTCATCGGACGAACTATTATTTTTGGATGATTGGGTAACGTTTTCAATGCATGTGGGACTTTCGCAAACATCTCTTCGGCGCATATCAATTTCTCAGCTGCATGTGAACCTGCTCAGGGCTCATTTTATTACCTGATTCTTCTCCACGAATAAAGTATTTATACAACAGTTATTTCTGCTGATTTGAAAATCTAAAAGAACTTCGAACTGGTAATGCCCAACCTTGCAATAGAAAAATGTTCATGCAATGTGGTTTGTCTTTTACGTAAGCACTGTTAGAGGATGAAGAAATTGGCATATTTAGTTGTGAAGTAATTTTCATCTTATGAACAAACGAGTTGCGAACTTTATCCAATGATGTTAATGATTTCGGAACTGTATGAAGACTGGATAGCATGTGTTCTTCTAACTCAGCATCGCTTTCAAATGATAAAGTACAATTCATTTCAGTGCAAAATCTTAATGAATATAATTGCCTGTCACTTCTTTTCTGTTTTTCCTTAAGTGACTTGTTACGCTTAATTGAATTATCTGTTTTGCTATATGGCAACAACAACTTAATCGAGGGTTGAATTTTAAGATTTCCATACTCTTGTTCAATTCCCTCACCGATATTGAAATAACGCCACATCTTCATACTTTTCTCACCAAACTCAAATGAGTGATAGTTGCTAATGTTCTTAGTCTTTGGTCCAGTAACTACAGTTTTATCATTGCTAATTTGAGCAACTGCTACTTTTGCATCTTTAGCGCCAAAACTATAATGCATAGCCTTGTGTATATCTTCAGCAGTCAAAAGATTATTACCAGAGTCAACGTAACTCCTTAAAATTGTCTTTACAACTGCACTCTCCCTGTCACATTGATCTTTTCCACAACAGGGTTCATTATAATCATATCTCAGCAACTTTATATATCTCTCTCTTTGCATACATTGTAGATTGCTTCAGCTGAAAGATTTCCCTGATAGCAGCCGGCATTATCAGATTTGGTAAACATTTTCTTGATATGCGGTTGATCAATTCTAAATTGGTCTAAAACTGCAGTGGCTAACGAAACAACATCACCTATTCCCTGATCACACCTATACATTGAAGTAAAGTAAACACGTTTGAATAACTTTCCTGCTATTTTTATGAAGAATATATCCACATGTAAACTCATTCCTTTCTTGCCAAAATACTCTCTTTGGCCCTCTCTGTATCGAACCGGAAGAATTTTTTGACAAAAATCTTTAAGCCAGAAAGCAGTTTCATCGTTTAATTGCTTAAAAGCTTCAATTTTTGCCTTTTTCTGTTGAGAATCTCTCATCAGGTGTTTTATGTAGTTGAATACATCCTTTACAGCAATTTCCAAATCATAAATAGAATTAGCATCGTCAGAATTTTGAATTGTTAGTTCTTTGATCATCTCGATAGCTTTGCACAAATCATAGCAATCGGCACATATCACTTCTGATATCTCTGTGTTGGATTGATGATTTTTTTTCAGATGGATCTGATAAGGCATGTTTTGAGCTATGAGAAGAAATGTTTGAGTCATTGACACTACAATTAGTTTGATAACTTGTTTTCAAATACCTTTTACCTTTTTCAAGGGCAGCTTCGAGAGATTTAGAACTAAATCTTTGTGCCAATTTTTGTAATCTTTGAAAACCATTCATGCCTGAAGCAGTAACATCATCTAATCCAGCTAAGCTTTTTCGACTTGAAGGTTTTATTGCATGCAATACTTTCCACAAACTTGAATCAGATAATGGTATATAATTGTTTTCACTACAACTTTTTCGATAGAACATGATAGCGTGGCTATATTTTGTCTTCAGTATTGCATGCACTATCTTTTGTTCTTCACCGCTGTCGTATTTTAATTTGGTTATTCCATAAGCAACATCATGCAAAATACCGCTTGTAAATATAAAGTCTAAGAAATGTTCACACTTTGTTTGATCAAGACTAGATCGGACGAATACTTTCTTCTCTGGAAATGCCAACCCTTTATGAGATGCATGCCATTTTCTTGCTGTTTCTATACGATGTTTGGTACACTCAAATGTGTTCATTATAAACTTTTTGGTATACTTGGTATGGTCTAATAATGAGAGGATAACTAACTTTCCCATGGAATCACTTTGCTTATATACTTTCTGAGCACGAATAATTTCAATTGGGAGAGGGCTATTTATTTCATCAACATTTTTACTGTTAAGAAAATCTATAAGTATTTCCTCTTGTCCAGGAGCAACAGCTTCCGCAAATTTTTTCTTTAATAAGTTTTCTAGGCGAACATACTTGCGTTTTAACTTATCTTTAGTAGTATCTTTCAGATATTTGAACTTCCTTTTTAATCTAAATTTTATTGGACTTGCATTAAGAACCTCAGTTACACTCTCACGGCTTCTTAGAGATTCGTCCAAAATCTCCTGTGAAACATTAATTTCACCGGGATCAAATTTTTCATCTGGAGTAGCAGGTGTCATATATGTTTTTTCTTGTTGTGTTTGTGTTTCTGTACATAAATTGGTGTTTTCGTTGACTCTAGATATAGCAGTTTCTTGCTTTAAATGGGTAAAACACAGCATTGCACCAACTAAAAATACTTCATTGTATCGCTTTGACATTGATATGACGACATGTATTGGTGACGCCCTTAAAGCGGGAGATTTTTTTCCTTTTATATTTAGATGGTGAGGATGAAAGCATGTTTTTGGAGGACTCCATGCAATACCAAACGTGAACCGGTGAAAAGCACATATTTGTTCATCCTTTTCAAGATTTCTTTTAAGTCTATTTGCAATAAGTTCATTTTCTTCCCAAATATTATTATCGTTTAATCGCATGACCTAAAAACAATTTTTTAAACAATTATTAAGTGTGTCATTTAAAGCATTGTTTATAATCTGACTCTTCACAAAAAATGTTTACAAGTTTGAAATACATTGTTGTTATTATTAAAATACAATATTGCAAGAGTGTGATTAATTTAGTGATTATTTATTAAAAGAGTGAGAAATTAATTAAAAGAGCTATTTTTTTTTGTTTAAAGAACTTTGTCTCAAAATCTTATTGCAGAGAAGTTATGTAATTATAAAAATTATATTACAGTCTGCGTAAATTTAAAATAGATAATTACCTTTAAGTTGATGAGGTGTTTCTTAACATCAACATCTCCCAGCTGATGAATGTAGAACAGTTTATAATTTTATGTTTTTTGAATGATCCACAATTTCCTTTTGAAAAGCAACAACAGTTTTCATAAAAATATTTGTTTTGTTCCATACTCAACTAAAAACAAGTTCTATTTATGCAGTACCTATTTCTCAATAGCAATGATAAAATATTTACTCTATTTATGCAAATTTTAAAGATCGTTAAAATAAAGTTAAGACCTTTTTATGGTAAAGTAAACAACCGCCCACTAACTTGTTTCTCCACAATCGTGATATCAGCGATTCTTCTTCCATTCGATCACCACAAGTTATTTGGTTATGACGTAAATTTAAATAATTCACTTCTGATCATGTATTGTTTTTTATTATTATTTATTTCAATTGTTATGATTTCTATATCATAGTCAGAAACGCCTAAATTTTTTCTTAACATTACGTGCAATGTTTTGTGTAATGCTAATTGCTAATTTTGGATGATAGAAATTTATTGTGAGCGAAAACCTCATCTGTGTGTCCAAAAAAATATCTCTTCGTACTTAATCATTTTTAACAATTTGTACCTTTATTTTTAACTTAATATCTAAAGATCACACGAGTTTTTTTTTAAACTATGTTAGGGTCATCTTATATTGACCATTTAACATGATTATATTTTTACAAAACTTAGCGCCTCTGCCGTAATAGCTCATTTTGTAAGTATACTATAACATTTTTTTCCAATTTCAAGCCTTAATATATTAATAGGCCTTAGGTATCACATAACTTTCTTTGTATTTTTAGACTCAATACCTTTGATAATTTCAAATCCTAAAAGAAAAATTGTGTGCAACACTTCGCCGCTAGAATTAACTCCGATTAAAAATTGACAAAACTGATTGATTTTGTACTTTTGAACTATGATAATTAGCCAACCGCACAGTGTCACACAACTTTTTTATATTTTTTGGAGAGAGCTTTTGGGTTACGTCTGATATTAACTACAAAAGCTATGTGGAACTTTTTGCCTTGCCAAAAAAATGGGTTCAAAGGTGGCAAAAACTAAATTTCTAAAAATTTTTAAAAAAATCTCAAAAATTTAAGCCCAGATTCCGAGTGAACGAAACATTTTTGAAATTTTTTTTTTTCCTTAACAGGTTTTCTCTATATTCTGATCAATATATAAAAAATTCAAGCAATTTGGAGGAGGTCACTTCCATTGACTGCCTGATTCTTACAAAAAATGACTCTTAACAATTAGACAAAAAAAAAAAAAAAAAAAAAAAAAAAATGAAAGTCATGAACTAATTAAAATAAAAGTGACCCTGATCCTGATGAACTTTTAAATTGTAATTTATTGCATTTTACATGTTACTTAAAATAATCAGACAAAAATGCCAAATTTATTTTATTTAAATCTAAAGATAACATTTAAAAATACATAATTAAAAAAAAAATTCTTTAATAGAAAATTATAAATAACCAACTTATCTAATCTTCGATAATAAATTGTTGAATAAATAAAATATGAAAAAAAAAAAAAAAAAAAAAAAAATTGATTTATCTAATCTTCGATAATAAATTGTTAAATAAATAAAAAATGAAAAAAAAAAAGTTTCGTATTTTACATTTTTTAAATTTAAAAGTTTGATATTAAATTTTTTTAATCAACTGCCAGAAAATATAAACATGCCTGAGATCTTTTTATTTAATCGATTAAGGTTTCGTTTGATAATCTTTTCCGTTTCTAAAAAAAAGAATTTTTATAACTTTTTTTATTAATATTTCTTAATTTTTAGTTTATTAACATATAACTATTGATAACTAAGAGAATATTAATATATACTGCATATATAGAAATATATTATAATTCTTATTATATTAATATTGAAATACCATCAATTCCAATTTTAATTTTAAGATCTATGTATTGCGTTTTGAATACCACAAGACTATTTTTAATACAGTAAAATAAACTTTCAAAAATTGATAAGTAACCAAAATTTCTACCGCAATTTAGAGTATTCTTTAACACCTGGACTTTCTTTGCAACTTGAGGTTTTTTAAAATGATAAACTGAAACAGGAACATCGACTCTAATAAACCTCTTCCTAATTCTTAAGATATTAATATATACTGTATATATAGAAATATATTATAATATATAGATTTATTGAACATATTTAGAAATTTATTAAGATAGCTATAAAGTTAGAAAGATAAAGCGTAGCTATAATACAGTGGTCGTAGTAACAATTTTTATTTTATTTACGTCGTTATTGTAGTAAATAAAACTTTATAAATGCAAACAAAGTATCTGGGAAAAAATTTTTTTGTGATCACCAGAACATTCTCAAAGTGGAAACAAAGTGTAAAAAAATGTAAAAATACATATTGTAAATATCAAAAGTGGATGAAACTTTATTCCAAAAATATAACCCGCCTTAAAATGACTTAAAGGACCCTTAACGGTTAAGGAATTCTTAATGGCAAATTTTTAAACTCGGAGAAAATTTTTTTAATGATTTTGTAAATTGGCTATTGTGAAAGCATGGTTTTAAAATGGAAAAGAATTTTCTTTTAAGTGTTCAAAATTAAGTCAAATATTTGTAGTTATAATATGCTTGCAATTTTAATATCTAATAACGAGTTTTAAAAAATCCTAATAATATTAATAATGATAATATTTAAATGCCAACAAAATAATTTTTAGTGTATAAATTATTGACTTTATTATGACTTCAAGAAATGATAGAAGAAAACGCGAAAACGAAATGAATACTTTGATATTGGAAGGTAATATAATACAAATAGGCAGAAATTTGTTAATCTTGATAATCATGTAAAGAAAATCTTTATAGTATATTGTTTTTTTTAATCTCTATTAAAAGACAGTCTGTCGCATATATTTTATGTAGAATTCTAATTTGTTTACATATTAAATATGTAAACAAATATGATATTTGGTTTAGGAGAAACTGACAGTTATTTAACAGAGTTTGAAACTGTAGCAGAAAAAGAAAATTTTACAATCGGCGAAATTTTGATGAAAATGTATCTTCTATTTTTGATGAAGTGACTGGATGTGATGATGAAGTGACTGGATGTGATGATGAAGTGACTGAATGTGGTGATGAAGTGACTGGATGTGATGATGAAGTGACTGGATGTGATGATGAAGGTGATGAGGATGAAAACAATGAAAGTAACTTTTCTTTTCTTATTTTAATCAAATCAAATTTGTTGTAATTTTTACACAAAGTTGCTTTATTTTTGACAATATTAAATGCACACACAAACAGTAATGATTTTTGTCAGTAATTTTATAAAGTGTAGCTAGTGGATTAGCTGTTGACTGTTAAACTAATGGCCATTAGCAATTAAAACGTTTTATAAATTGCAAAGATGATTAACAAATTATCTTTTTTTTCTTTAGGTGAATTTTCATCAGAGGAGAATCATGAAAGTAACAAGGAATTCAAGAGTAACTTCTCACCCCTGCATACTAAATTGTTATACTTCTGCTTACTTTATAAACTCAGCAATAGTGCAATACTCTGTTAGCTTACCATTTTAAATGAGGAAGGAGTCGATGTTCCTGTTTCAGTTTATCTTTTTTAAAAACATCAAGTTGCAAAGAAGGTCCAGGTGTTAAAGAATACTCTAAATTGCGGTGGAAATTTTGGTTACTAATCAATTTTTGAAAATTTATTTTACTGTATTAAAAATAGTCTTGTGGTATTCAAAACGCAATACATAGATCTTAAAATTAAAATTGGAATTGATGGTATTCCAATATTCAAAAGCTCACCGGTACATATCTGGCCAATTTTACTTATTATGAGAAATGTAGGTTTTATCTTCCTATTACTGTTTATTCTGGTTTAAGCAAGCCAAGTTTTTCTGGGTTTATTGAACAATTACACAAAGAGTTAGTTTTGTTTAAATCTTATGCTAATGTATCTGGATTTTTTATTAAGATAACCAATGTTTTATTTATATGTGATGCTCCAGCAAGATCATTCTGTCAGTGTGTGAAAAGTCACTCAGGGTATACTGCTTGACCATACTGCAGGATTCCAGGTGTGTATGCTACAAATAAAGTAATATTACCATTTGGTTTTACATATCCTTCTTGTACTGACTGTAATTATAAATCACTATTGGAATCGAACCAATTATTCTTATCTCCACTAGCTGAAGTTTAAGTAGTGATTTCCCTCCTGAATATATGCACACTGTTTGTTTAGGTGTTATGAGAAGACTTATAATGTCATATTTTTCAAACAAATATGGCCGGTTAAATATGGCCGGGTCAGTGAGAATCTGAAAGAACTGTTAGAACAAAGAGTTAAATTGTGGCATGGAGCTTTGCCATCTGAATTTCATAGGAAAATAAGGTCTTTTCAAAATATTAATTATTTTAAAGCCACAGAGTTTCGAACAATATTACTGTATACAGGCCCTCTTCTTATCATTCTTTTAAACTACTAGGTATCATTCTTTTACAAGGTATCATTCTTTTACATGGTATCATTCTTTTAAACTACTATAATCATCTTTTGTATTTACATTTTGCTATGTATGTGTTTATTGGAACATCACACAAACATTATTATCACAATGCTACTTTTTGTATACAACATTTTCTCAATGATTTAAAGGCATTTTTTTAGTGAAAGGGCTTATACCTTCAATGTACATATGTTATTGCATTTACCAGAATTCGTGCAGCAACTTGGATCTTTAGATAAGTTTTCTGCTTTTCCTTTTGAAAATTATTTGTATTTAATAAAACAGCATGTAAAAACTGGATCCTATGTATTTGAACAGTCCATTAACTCTGTTTTAACTATTCGAAGTTTATATTCCGATCCACCAAAAAGAAGTTTTGTTTTCTCAGAAAAATATCCCAATAATACTGCTCTTGTTGTATTTCAATCGAATATTGTTCCAATTATTATAACTTCTATTAGTGACAACTATATTGCTTCTGGATCCTTATTATTATTTAAATTAGATTTATATGTTCATCCTTATCTTTCCAGTTCAATTGGTATAGGTAGGTATATTCTGTCTAATTTAACTGATGTGAAGATCGTTAATAAATGTATTTCTTTTCTTGATGGCAACGAGTACATTATTATACCATTTGCTAATAATGTTTTTAAGGGTTGACAATCAATGACTGTGTCGTGATGTAACAATTCTTTTGTTTTTATGTCATAGTTGATTTTATGATCTAAACTTTTAAATATTATAATATTTAAATTTTTTTTGTTTGTTTTATTTTTTTGTTTTACACATAGATTTTTATAAGAAACTAAACCAATTTACTAGTAAATGTTTTATTTTAAGAGTCCTTTTGCTAAATATTTTATAAAATAAGTTTTTGGTTGTTAAAATCTAGAAAAAATGAATAAAATACAATTGTAATAAAAATAGAAAACAGCCAACTTAATATTTTGCAATAAAATAAGTTTTTAATTTTTATAGCTGTTATGTTTTATCTTCAAGATAAAACATAACAGCTATAAAAAACAAAAAATTAGTCTATTGATAAAAAACTTCTATAGATGTTAACAATTGATAAACCGTTGTGATAATAAGTTTTACTTATTATAACAACTAATTTACTTATGTACTAATCTCATAAAAATTATTTATATGTTAATTATTTAATTAAAACAATTATAGTATATACAATATGATTTTATAAAACATTCTGTTATATGTGTGAATCCATATTAATATTGTTTGAACATATAATTATATATTCAAATTAATTAATATTAAGTGATTGTCTTGTTATATTTATAGCGTCAACAATTCATTTTTTTCCCGGTACCACGACAAAAAAATTGAATTAAAAATAGCTCAATTTTTTAACAACGCTAGAGATCGCTCTGGTGGTCGACATCAGAGAGGTTTAAAAAAGACAGATGTTTCAATCGAGGAAGAAAAAGATAATGTTAGTAACAAGGGTAGTGAAAAGGGCACTGATAACGAACCACAACAACAAAAAAAAAAAAGGCTTTTTTAAATAAATATTAGTATTGTGTTTTATATAAATCTTTATATGGATACTTTTAATGTAAGTTGTAATACCTAAAACAAATAAAAATATTATTATTATTTGTTTAAAATAATAAATAACTATAAAAATTCATAAAAAGAAGTTTTTATTGAATCACTTATAAATAAACTCTTTTAAAAATGTCAACCGTTATAAAATTATAATAATTTAACTATATAAATTATATTAGTGTTTAATATATTTTATTAAAAAAAAAAAGCATTTAAAAAACAACCAGGCTTTACTACTCATATTTTGAGTAGTAAAGCGTGTTTTTTTTTTTGGTCGCTTAAGGGCTAGCCCTTAAGGGACCCTTAAATTCCGCGCTGACATTTTCGTCTGGGTCCCTTAAAGACTAGCCCGTAAGGGACCCTAAAGTTTTTTTTAGGCGGGAAGACACGATGTTATACAAATATGAAAAAACTTGGGCAAAAAGATTTATACAAAATTTATTATTTTTGAAGGTATATTTATTTAGTAGTTTCAAGGTCTTTAAAAATAAGTAACGAATAATCATATTTTCACATATATATAACCTAGACAGCAATCTTACATTGGCCCAACGTAAGTTTTAACTTCTGGTCTGGAGACATAAAAGGAGGAGAGCGAAAACAATCAGCCAAAATAAAGATTAAAGAGACAAAAAATTGTGTATATCTTTGTGTAGATGA